CTATATAAATAGATATCATACTCAAGTCACTACATAAAAATTTCTCATATAGCCATGACTGAGTGGAAGAGTATCGATTCACCCTGTCTAAATGCAAAGCTGGTGTTACTTTCTGACTCTATCTAGTCCAACCACCTTTCATTCAAGGAATGGCACAAAAAGGTTTCTTAATTTACCCAAAACTATACAATTAATAGCAGTAGAAGAGCAGCAATAATCTCTTCTGATTTCTATACTAATGCTTTCCACTATTCACTCTATGGTACTTCTATTTCCAGCAAAGGAGAGAACCACTCACATACTTTTAATGGTAGCTGAATCTGACTTACTTCAGAAGGAAAGGCAAACACCCTCAGGCAGATGCAAAAGCCTCAGATGGCTCTCTAGTGTTAGCCTCCCTCTTTCAGTACAGCCAGATAGGTTCATTCACCAGTCATGTAAAGCTGTTTTGTCTATTTCCATATTCACACATTAATGACCAGTAACAAAATGTTACAAATCACCAACAAAGAAAACTTGTGAAAGCTTACCTGAAGGATTTTTTAAATGGTTTTTTTAAACAATCACTTACTTGAATAAATGTTATCCTTTCTCCCAACTCTTTCTTTTGGAACTGTAATAGTAGAGCAAGGGTGTCCGTGTTTCCTGTGCAAGTTAATCGCTTTTTCAAACGCTCGTTAAAGTTTTATTTGAAAGCTATTTTCCAAAAAGGAATTCCTTTAACACTTCTTGGGAGTTACCAACCTCAGGTCAGGGTGTTATACGTTAAGAAGCTGGCTTTTAATAATCCCAGCACTCTGGCTAACCGAAGAACAGAAGGACAAGCTTGAAGTCAGACTGGGTACCTTAGCAACTTAACGAAGCCCTGTCTTAAATTTTTAAAAAGAGGGTGGGAGGTGGGGGCTTGGGGTAGAGCTCAGTGTGAAGGTCCAGAGTTCAAACGCCCATTACAAGCCCCCCCCCCCACGGGCTTTTGCACTGGAAAAGGCAGAATTCAAATTCAGGTTAGACTAAGATTATAAACTATCATCTTTCATCTATCAAAGTAGTCTTTCATGTATCAAAATCTGATATGGTTAAATTAATAAATTTAAATAAATGTGAATTCTCAATAAGTTTAATGTCCTCTTACATTATCTAGTTAAGAAAAATTTCTGTTGGAAAATATCTACAGTTAAAAAAACTTTAGTAAGTGTCCTCATTATTTTAAATACTAAAACATGCTCAATCAATTTGAGCAAAAATCTTTTATAAAATGTTATTTCATTCATCTGTTCTTTAAATTGAATACCTGAAATATAATTTCACTTCACTATTAAAAATATCTAGTTGGTAAGCAGTGCTATCTTTAACAAAATAGCAATATTTACAGAAGAATGATTATCATATTAAAGACCTCAAGGCACTTATGTTTCTAATGAACATTTAAAAAATCTCTTCTCTTTGAATCTCTTTTTGCCTGATGTCAATCAGCCCCCTTTGGTACTCTAATATGAAAATTAAGATAGTCTGGCCAGGGATTTAGCTCCGTGGCACTGTGCCTGCCTCACAAGCTAAAGGTCCCGAGTTCAAACCCCCATACCAAAAAAAAAAGAAAGAAATTAAGATAGAGTCAAAGGTTACCAAAGGTGACATTCCTTCCAGGAATAAACTGAATTTACATATGCTAAGTCTCTCCTATCAAGCAAAATATGATAGATTTTACTTACGTTTACTTTGTTCTGGATTAGAAGCTATGTTTTAAACATTTAAATCTGCTAACACTTCATTAAATAAGTAGGATGGGGATTTTTTAAAGGAACTGCCCACAGGGACCAGCAAGTAATGTAAATCAGTGAAGAGGACCAAATGTGAGCCAAGAGTAAGCCCTGTCTGAAAGAGACAGCATGTATTATTCAATGTAGACTATTGTTCTCAAGGAGAAATGCAGGCCTACCATTACCCAATCTTCTATTTTTCAAGAGGTAAAACATCTAGATTTTTGTATGAAATCTGACAACTTTAAAATGTACACAGCTAGAGAAATGGGGCAATGGCTAAAAGATACAAATATGTCTTGTGGCTGCAGGTCTGTGGCCACTGAAAGAAATTTCACTATCTTAAGACTCTCATTTGTACTGAAAAGAAAAAACCCCTGATTCAAACAATTTAGAGAAGTTATTTTCTCACAGTGTATTTGGAAATCAGCCAGATTTAGAACCAGAACATTTCTCCTATATCTCTAATTATATTAAGGCCAACATTCTATAGTCTTTACCTAATAAATACATGCAATTACCTATACATAGGAATTGATTAGCACCCATTACCACTGACATGAATATATAACATTACCAAGTGGATATACTTATGCTACTTAGAATTTCTTGCTTCTGAGCATGAATTATGAGGAATTACAGTATTTTTTCTATTGATCTAGACACACATGACAAAGTATACGACAACTGAGAAGTAATAAAATGAAAAGCATTTAAATATTACTGGAAAAATTAGAATGACCTATATTTGTAGGATGCTTCATGGTACTATCAGGAAACATTATGTGAATTATCAGCATACACATGCAAAAAATTTTTTTCCCCATTTCATAGATGAGGAAACAAGAATCAGAAAATGGAATGAGCTGGTCAGCATCAGAACAAGGTGGCCACAACATTATGCAAATTCAGGTTTAGACCCTCAGTTACTCCACTTCCATCACTCCAACATTTCCCTTAGTGATTTATGCTAATAAAACAGTTTATGAAAAGAGTAAACAGATGAGGAGGGCAAAAAAAAAAAAAAAAAAAAGAAGTAACAATACAAAACCCTGATCTGAATTCAAGGCCTAGTTTTTTTCAACTTCCAGATTGCCCTCTATTACCCAGAATAAGGGAACCTGTAATTGGGAGAGAAAATTTGAAAACTGTTACCAACTCCAAAGTAATAATTCTAGTCTAGTTTATGTTTACAGTTGCAAAAATGCAACACAGCAATGAAGGAATATCCAGACTGCTTATTGTTTCCCCATGTACAAGTAATAATCTAATAAAAGGTGAATGTAAATTTTAGTTAACAACTGAAGGCAAAGGCATTATATCACTAAAATTTCCCTTGATCCCAATCTGAAAATCAATACAATTGCTAGTAAGTTTTTCCTTAACATTAAAGAATTTTGAACAAAATCAATAGCTCACAAAATATATGTATTTTTAAATATATATACTTTAAATACTAGAATTAGAATCTCTTCTCCCTCCACTCCTGCCTGTAAGAAAGTGAGCTATTCACAAGAAAAGTATGAAAAAGAAACTGATTTCAGGTCACAGCACATTCACTTCTCTATGTCACACTGTGGAACAAAACTTCATTGAAAGGAATGATGGACAAAATCCCCCACACTTAGTGTTTTTTCTTTGTTCTTTTTTCTCTTTCAAGGCCAAGTTCACATGCTTCGGGATGATTTACATAAATTAATATTAAAATTATGAAAATTCTCCATGTTCCATAAGATTAAGCAAGGAAAAACTATTTTATTTTTTTAAAAATCTAAGAACAAGTAAAAACACAAGATTATAACAAAGCAGCAATTTTAAACTACTAAATCTTATAAATTACAAATCATATAGTTTACCCTCATCAAAATAAAAAAGGAACATAAAGAAGATATAGTTTAGAATAATTTTCAAACTGAATTCTACAGTACCTTAAAGGTTGGAGTTACTTAAGTAAATGAAATAAATCTATACACTAACATAATTATATATGACCTCATTTTAAGGTTTTCTTAATCATAATCTAATTGTTTTCATTTTATTAAATATACTTATGAAAAATAAATGCTATAAATTTACACTATAAAGTAACTATACAACAGTAAAACACCATATACCCTTTTTAGGAGGTTCTCCATAAAAATTTAACACAAAAAGTTGCTCTTTCTAGAAAGTCACTCTATTCACAATGTTCAGAACTTACTGTTCTATGTCATATTGGTCAGGGATATAGTCATAATATTTTACCTAATGACAATATCAGAGGTATTTACTATACCATTTAGAAAAACATTTAATAAGTACTGCAATTTAAATATTGCTTAAAGAAAACACTGCTCTGCCTTCTGAAATACTATGTGAATAAGAACTTTGTTCTCCCAACTTTCTGGGTAACCATGAACTTGTACTATCTCAATAAACGTTACTACTTCATAATGCTAAGGAAGATTTTTGAAAATTTTGAAGCTAAATTTACAAAATCATTGAGTTATATTACTTTTAAATTTACATAATAATTCCACTTAGTTAAATAAAATAATTGAATATTTAGTCCAGCTCTTCTGGCATCAGAATACACTGGATATTAAAAAAAGGGGGGTATCCAGGCCTAGATATGGACTTATTTCTAAATTCAAAATCTGAATCTGAATGTCAGTTTAAGTGATTTGAAGAAAAAAATGAAGCATCATTAAAAATGTGACAGTTGGATACAGAAGTCTGTATGATGAGAAAAAATTGGAACCCAAATAACCCAAAAGGAAAAAAAGACAAGACAGCATTAAAATTTCTTCTAAAAGTTATACAGAGTGCTACCATTCTTTCTAGAAAACCACAAAATTCCCCACAAAACATAAGAGAAATCATACTTTTTGTATAAAACATGGCTTATTTATGGCTTTTAAAAGAAATCTATTCAGATACTTTAATGTTTAAATTTCTACAAATAAATATCAAACAAAAATATTAAACACAAAAGGAAGATTAAGTTAATTTGGGCTAGAAAAGCACTATCAGGGTGATCAAATGTTCTGGCAATGACAGAACATAAAATGGTGAGAAATTACAGAAATTTAACCTTTGACCTCACCATCCAGTGTACTGTTTCCACAATATAGGATTGCAGGTTCTAGCAAACATTTCAACTTTTTTACCAAGCAAGCTCTAAGTCTGCTTTCCTATATAAAAGCAGTTATGTTCAAATATTTTAATTAAAATACTAAAAGATAAAAAGTAATTGGTTCTTACCTCTGATCCTGATGCATGTGACAAGTCTCACTGGCATACTTGCTGCCTAAGCAGCTACAAAGACTAGGCTAGCAGCCATTTTGAGACAGCTGCACAGTCTCAGTTGCACAAAAGTGTAATTAAGATGGCTGCAATGTGCACTCAAGAACTCACACAGTGAAAACTCAGCTATGTATCAAACAAAGCCCCTCCCACTTTGTCAGCCTGCAGGAAACTGAACACAGACAACAGCTAATGCATATACTGCAACAAACAATGCAGCTACTCAGGACACAATAAAAGAACACAGAAGGCAGCAAGCCAGTTTTGTGACATAATGCCTGTGAATCCCGACTTGCAATACAGACTTTGAGCACATCCAGATCCCAATTTGTAGTCCACGCCATATATTAGCAGTTACAGAGATAGAGCCAAATCACACAGAGCAAACATCAGGGAATTCGCCTGAAAGCAAGCCTCCATTTCAGTCCAGAAAGGAAAAAAAAAAAGGCCAAACCCTGCTCAAGGTCTTTTTTTTAACCTTTTATACTATTTTTATCATGAAGACAACTTTGATTTCATAAATTCTAGAAAATTAAGTTACTTAAACCCTGATAATAATTTGATCAAATTAATTTCAATTCATATCATGCTAATTAAAATTTTACCCACAGAATGAATCTAAACCTTAAAGAGCTCAACTCTAGGAGAATGGTTAAAGTTTACAATCAAATTTTTGAATCGTGACAATATCTCTAGAACTAAGATGATAACAAATCTTACTGTAAGTAATTTATCCTAAATATAAAAATTTCTTCTCTATCATAATGCAGATGGTCATAAATACATCCCCAGGTGAGTCAGTGGTCCCAGAGCACATTACATTTCATGCCTTGCCAGGGACATCCCCCCAACCTGCAACATTTGACTGCTAGTGAAAATCAAATAAAGAATGTAGGCGCCTCTGGGGGAAAAAAAAAGTAAGAAGGACAAAAAGGTAAAAAACAAGTCTGAAAGTGTACATATTATCAAGAAAAGTTTGAGAGTATCCCCTTCATGGTAGTAAAAAGCCATCAAAAAAAGCCACAGAAAAGAACCTGTTTGGTTGCAATTCACATCAGCTTTGGAATCCATGTTTTCTTCTTCCTTGGTCTACCTTCCTAAAATTTAGCAATTTTTTGTTATTTCTATCCATCACTAAATGTAAGCATTTATTAAAATTCATGAAGGGTGTTGTGGTGATATGGGTAGAAATATAGTAATTAAATGGAAACTGACCCCATGAGATGATAAACCTTTAAATTGAAGGATGGGTACAAGAGTTCATATTTTATTCTACTTCTGTTTAATGTTTGAATTTTTCTGTAATGCTTTTAATTTCTGAGCATTAAAAAGGTCATTAATTCATTTTCCATGAGGCAAACTAATTGTATTATATCAGAAAACAAAATATTATACTTGATGCAAGCCATAATAATTCTTCAAAAACATAACTGAAATTCTGAGGGTAGCTCAAGGAAAATCTCTCCATTAAAAACAAAATAGTGGTGAACTGGGAAAGACAAGGACAGATAAAAACTACTACACCACTGGAGTATAAGTTTATTGTGGAGGGGATTTACAAATATTTAGAGCTACCTGATGAGGCAGGTAAGTCTATTTCACTAGACTATCAATTAATTTGCACACCAGCCATAACAGCAAGTTTTATTACCAATTTGTGATAGTACAAATGGTTCAGAGAGTAACTTCACAAAATTGATGAAATCTGAAACATAAACCCAGACTATACTCAGACCCAGCCCACAGACCTTTACCCCCAGTTCAGACAGTCATTGTTTCCTTGTCTGACTGAAATAGTTGGGAAAGGAAAATGGTAGGCTATTCTTCAGACATCTGGTACGACTAAATGGCAAACCTTTCACTCCGGTCCCAAAGAAACTATCAGAACCTGATAAATACTATTTATGACTCCACCTAAACTATTTTAACACTGACAACTAACTTCTCCTTACTCTTCTTTCACCTCCCAAACCAGGTATAGTTGTTCTCACAAAATCTTTTATTCATGTCACCATTGTACTCACCACATTTCATTACTTATCACTTTATATTAGTAATCTTTTATAAGGACAAAATTCACAATTAATTTTTCATTCTCTTCCACAGCAGGTAACTATCATTGCTCAATACACATTTAATTGAAAGTCACAGCCAGTGTTTTCTTTCTACCACAAAAATTTCTAACCCCTAAGAACCTTTATTTTTAGGATCTCTACATATTCTTATCTACTAGGAAGAAGTTAACTAAGTTTAGTGTTGGCTAAAAGTCTCTGCACTAGAAAATCAGAGGTTGTAAAAATACCTTTTATACGTATTTTCCAGTTTTTAGAGTGTTTTTATAGGTACTGCACAGGAGATATTATGTATAGAGAACAGATGATCTCTGATCTCAAAACTGTAGAACATAAGTGAACATTTCAGTGAATACTTGCTCTGCCCAAACCTAGCAAAAATTTGAAGCCAAGATTTGTAATTAAAAATGGAAGCACCAAGGCTAGGGACATAGTTTAGTGGTAGAGCACTTGCTTAATATGTGTGAGCCCTGGTTCAACCCCCAGCAAAAAAATGAATGAGGGCCAGGGATTTAGCTCAGTGCCACCATGCCTGCCTCGGAAGCACAAGGTCCTGAGTTCGATTCCCAGTACCAAAAAACAAAAACATAAATGAGTACCATACAAAAAGAAAGGTAAATGACTGCAGAGATCTCTAATCCTTCTTCCACAAATCTCCCACAATACTGCCAATCAGACTTTTATTCTCCATGTAGGAAAATGAGAGACTATTTGACTGTTTTCTGGAGGTATCTGAGCACCATGAGGCACAAAACTTGCGCAGTTTCCCAAAAATGACCCACCCAGATTATCCTATAAGAAAGTTCAAAATTGGTGAATTTAAATATCCCAATCAACTTTTTAATCTTCCACATCACATTATGTAGTCAGCCAAGGAAAAAGAGGCCAACTGAGAAACGTTTCCAACATGAAAGGCAGACACCAAAACAACTACCACCAAAAAATACACATAAAGCAACAGATTGTACAAAAAAGAAAAAAACTACCAAAAAATATATAAACAGAAAAATGCACCCTTGACTCTACTACTACAACTACTTGAGTTCTAGAATACTGTACAGTCAAGAAATGAAAACCAGAAATTGATAGAATATGATAAAAGAAATAAAAAACAACAGAACTAGATGATAAAGTTGAAAAATATACATGAGCAAAAAGACAAAGTTGAAAGCAGAAGAAAACTGGAATGACAAAATGGAGAAACATTATCAATGAGATCATTTCAGAAAAATTTCCAGGGCTGGGAGTGTGGCTCAGTAGTAGACCAACTACTTAGCACGTACAAGGCCCTCAGTTTGATGATCCCCAGCACTGCACACAAAATAAGAATATGAGGGCTGGGGATTTAGCTCTGGGGTTCTGCTATCTGCCTTGCAAGCGCAAAGACCTGAGTTCGATCCCCAGTACCAAAAAAAATATAAATATAAGAAAATGAAGGGAAGAAGAGAAGAAAAGAAAAAGAAATATTCTCAAAATGTATGAGCAGGAATTGTCAGACAAAGGAGGAGATTTAGCTCAGTGGTGCCACGGCCTGCCTCACAAGCACAAGGTCCTGAGTTCGATCCCTAGTACCAAAAAAAAAAGAAATGTCTCTAATTTCTCTGAGGGGCTGGGGATTTAGTTCAGTAGTGACACTGCCTGCCTTGCAAACCCAAGGTCCCGAGTTCAATCCCCGGTACCAAAAAAAGAAAAAAAAAAGGATTATTGTAGACAAAGGAGCCCTACAAATGCCAGCAAACAATAATAAACAGATCCAGACCAAGACCTGCAACAGTGAAAATTTAGAACATGGGAGACTATTAAGATTCTACAAGCTTCCACTGAGGGGCAGAAATAAAATAATAATAATAGCTTTATCAGCAGAAATAATAAAAGAAAAAATGTGCCTTCATTTTTAAGGAGCCTTTAAAATTCTAAAAGAAAATCATTTCAAGCTAATGTTCTATACCCAGCCCAACTATCAATCAAGCAAAAAAATATAGAGAGAAACATTTCAAACAAACATTGTATTTAAATATATATATATTCCATATAGTCTTTCTCAGAAAGCTACCACAGAATGGTCCACTCACCACAGAGAATAAAACAACAAAAACACAGTGCATATAGGCAAAAAAGATCCTATCAAGTGGTGAAGGAAATTCCCATGCTTCTTTACAACTGGAATAAAATTTTAAGAATGATATTTGCATGCAACATGCAGAGAACAAATAAGCAAGCCTGGACCAAGCAGACAAAAGAAATAAGATCCTTGCTGTTACAGGGGAAAGGGGAAACCTTCTAAATAAATAACAAAATATCCTTACTAAAGAACTATAACAAAAGGGCTTGGGATGTATCTCAGTGATAAGAGTACTTACTTAGGATATGCAAGTCCCCAGAAGGGAAGGGAAAAAAAAAAAAGAAAAAAGAAAATTATACCAAATCATCATAACTAATAATGGATGCTGGCAAAACCCTCATGAATCAGCATCTGTTATGACTGTATCAAGGGAATGGGTCAGGATATTCATGACTCTTTTAGTGCAGACCAGACAACTCTGTGTAAGTAGTTTACGTAACCCAAGATTAGCAAAACAAGTATTCACCAAAGTACTAAATGAACTGATTTAATTGTGGTTAATATTTTATATTTAATGGTCATAAAAGAAAAACACTTTCTTCTTTATCACTCATCCACAAATTTAAAATATTCTTTGTATAAATAGTAATTAAGTAACATACTGATCCAATACCCTGAAAATTCAGGCTAAAAAAGAGCCTATAAAAGATTTTTTTGAGGCAGAGCCTCGAACTCAAAGCACTCCTCTTGCCTCAGCCTCCTAAATCCTGGGATTACAAGCATGCGCCAGCATGGCACCAGATATTTTCTTTAAAGGTCACATAACTTTTATTTTGAAAGATGTTAATATAAGCAGTAAGTTAATAAAGTACCAGAAATATTTTAAGAATAGATGTACCCAGGGCTGGGGATTTAGCTCAGTGTTTCTGCCTTGCAAGTACAAGGTCCCAAGTTCAATCCTCGGCACCAAAAATAAATAAATACAAGAATAGATGCACCCTGAGATCATAAT